TGAGAGCCAAAAATTTATTTACAGCATCAACAGCATCTAATTCCCAATATCCATTGATTCTGACAAATGCCATCACTTCAACACTTTGAGAGACTATTGATATCTATCAATCAAACAATTTAGGTACAACTGAAATTATAAACGAATGCTGAGGAACAAATTCTTTTTTAAGATGTTGATCTTGACAGTCCATCGAAACAAACAAAATGGAAAATAGATCCCATTGCAAGTAACTGAAAATCTGAAGACCCCATAAACACCAATTCATTGTAATGGAAAGGGATAAAAAGTTAGTACTTTTAGGACTACTGCAGCAAAACCATTAACCCTTTTCATGTATTAACAAAACATAGACCTTTGAATAAATTAAAACAGATACTATAAGTACTGAATTAAAATAACAAAAGTTGATTTCCAATAGAAAAAGTAGAGAGCTAGAGGGAGACTGACGGAGCTAATTCTGCGTTCGAGTGCGAACCGAGATTTGGACAGTCGGAGATGCAAGCCTACGAAGATCTGACGGAGAAGAACCCATGCCGGAGCCGGTCATCGGAGCTCCGAGGAAATGCTTCGGCGCAGTAGAAGAAGCCATATTTGTTAAATTTCCGGACAGACCCAGAAACCAAAATGGCAAAAGATTAACGCTGAAGAAGCAGGAAAATGAAAAAGGACGAGACTTTTTGATGGCTTTTTATTTATGAGCCGTGTGGTTTGAAGACCATGGGGGTTGGTGGGGAGGTCTGGTAAGGAGAGACTTTCTGTAGAGGAAGCGGGTGTTGTTTGGTGTGTTTTATTTATTTATTGCGTCAAAAAAGACATCACCATTTCCACCTACCCTCAAATTTTAGAGAAAAAAGAAAATTCATGGAATTTAATAAAATCTTAAATTGTTAAAAGACAATTTTGCCCCTTCATTTTCTTAAAAGGGTAATGTTTATTACATTTGTGTTGGAGAGGGGGTAGGGTTGTGGAGGGCAAAATGGTCCCTCTATTATTTGAAATAATTAAAATTTAATTATTTTGATTTTAAATCAAAAATTTTCCCTGATATAAAAAAAAAAATATATACTAACTTTGAAAAATTCAAGTACCCTTTATTATTTTGGTGGGGGGAGGTGGGTTCCACAATAATTCACATTAGAGAATTTTGCAATGGGCCCCATCGAGAAATTCACTAATTGTAAAGGTAAGGACATGTGTTAAAAATAAATAATCTTTAATACTTTAGTAGCATAGTTTAAATACTATTTTCTTACTGAGTTTTATGAAACTCACCCCAAATCCATTTTCCCCCAGAGGATGAGGAAACTTGTTTGGATCCTTTTGCATACTTGTAGGGGATATTTGAGTACATATGGATGACAGTACTCTAATG